TTTTTTTTTGGACATTTAGGCCATTTAAGTCAAACTCACACACACAACGCATACACAGAGACTCGAACCTTAGACCTCTTAGTTAGAAGCCTTAGCTCTCAACCAATAGGCCAAGGAGAGTTGTGTAAAATCAAATTATCATTTAACATAGGCTTCAACAAGAAAGATTTATTTTTATTTTTTTATTTTTGGCTTCAACAAGAAAGACGTCCCAAACGAAGACTTACTTTGGAACAGCTTTTTTAATGCTTTATAAAAAAAAATTTTAGTTATTAAAGCAATAGGAAAACTGTCTCAAAACGAAGCTAAAATCTGATTGGCTGATTAAGGGTTCGATTGTGAAGGTTTTCTAGCAATAATCATATTTTCATTTTGTTATTATTTTCTCATTATTTTTTTCAAAAATTTTATTGTTAAAAATCATTTTGTTTGCAACCAGAGTAACTAAATTTTTGCTCATATAACTTCACACCCAATTTTATAAAATGTTACGGTCGTTCTAAACTACTCTAAATGTATTATCACAAATGATGCTATAATTTCTCAATGCACAACCCAAAAAAAAAAAGGGAGTTTTACATACATACCACTTAATACTATTCTATTTACATATTTAACACCTAAAACTTTAATATTACATCCATATCACCCTATATTATTTTAATATCAAATATACCACTTATATTTCTTTCCTACCACTCATATATTTCATTTCTACCACTCATATTTTGTATGAAAATGAACTATGGGTGGTATTTATGTAATATTAAAGTTTTAGGTGTTAAATATGTAAATAGAATAGTATTAAGTGGTATGTATGTAAAACTCCCTAAATTATATGGTTATTATATTTAAAAATATTTTGTTAATTTTATTAATTTTTTATAATAATAATATTATTTTTTAATTCATCCGGTTCGACCTCGACTAGACCAATCTAATTGGTTGAACTGTGAAACTCTCGTTTTTCTGATTCTTTGTCCAATCCGACATTCAAAATCTTGGCATAAACATATATTTCTTTTTATGGGGAAATACTCGAATTTCTTTAAAATATATATATTTATATATGGACATAATTATTGTTATAAATTTTTGGAACGTTTAGATCAATTAAGTAAGACTGATAGGCGACCTTCGAACCAACACACCTAGCTAAGCTGTGTATAATTATTGTTATGTTGAGAATGAAAGAAAAAAAACCGTCATATCAGCTCTCTGATAGTCTGATACCGCTTTGGTCACACGCCCAACGTCTCCGATTTCCACTTCTACGAGCTCGATTATGGCTGAGTTCTTCCTGAAGTCTCTCGTTCTAGCATGGCTTGATAGAGCACTGGCCGAATAATCGCCTTTTTCGATTATTCTAGGTCTGGAATCCATCGGGCAAGGAGGAAAACAAGGGGGTTTGGGGGATTCGGCTTCAGATCGATAGCCTGCGGTGTCTTGCTTGGCTGAGTTTTTGCGTCAATGCGAACTGGTGGAATCTTGAAAATTGGGAAAACCAGTGTTTTGGTTTGGGAATAAGTGGTCTGTGAGTAAGCATCTAGGTTTAAAGCTATCTAGTATAATTTGACGAAGGAGTAAGTTCTGGAGTTGATCTGCAGCTGATCGGTTGAGGGAAAGCTGGTATATTCTGGCCTTTTTGAAGTCGGTGAAGTCCGGAAGCTGCATCATTCCAGCGTGTGGGTATTACCTGTTATTTCTTCGGTGTTGTTGATACTTGATCCTGCTGTCGTCATGGAACAAGCCATCGGTGGAAAGTTTAAGCTTGGGAGAAAGATTGGAAGTGGATCTTTTGGAGAATTATATCTTGGTAGGTCAAATCTTCGCATTTATGTATTGCTGAACAATATTTTGCTCTCGTTTCACTCTCTAGTTCTGTGAGATTGGCCATTTTAGCAGTGGTTTGTGTTTTTTAGGTGTCAACATACAGAGCGGGGAAGAAGTAGCCGTCAAGTTGGTAAGCTTTTGTCCGATTGCTGGATTTGTTATTATTTCCATGGGACGATTTTTCAAAGCATACTGTGGACTTTATATTGATTTTCTACAATGTGTTGTATTTCATGATTGAAAATTATTATCGAATTGTGAAATTCATACAAAAACTTTGATGATTGTTTTAGTCATCCATTACTTCAACTAGCTCAATGTCAGCATTAATTACTTGTACAGTTCCTTAATTGTATCAGTAATATTCCGGCGTGTTCTCCAGTACAATTCTACTTTTTAGTAGAGCCTTTCTCTAACTGATTTAAGTGCTTATGTTTCTCTTACTTTTTTTTACATTGAAACAAGTTATTTATTATGGAGGTTACTGGAGCATAATTTATTTACATGTTTATCAAAACTAGAGGAGAATGCTGAATTTTTTATGTGCCTGCAGAACAGATAACTAAATATTATAGTTTGAACAAAACTTGTCCTGTTTTTTGTTTTTTATTTTTTATTTTCCTGTTATTAAAGCTCCCTGTGGTATTATTATTATCTTGTCTGGATTAATCCTTCTACTTTTACTAAGCCATTAATTCCATATGTTTTTAGGAATCTGTAAAGACAAAGCATCCTCAACTTCATTACGAATCCAAACTTTACATGCTTCTTCAGGGTGGAAGTAAGTTCCTCTTTACATTTTTTTTAAATTGCTATTTACTTGCGTAGGAATTTTATACTTATTCAATCTTCTGGTTAATTGTTTTTTCCATTTGAAATAGCTGGAATTCCTCACCTGAAGTGGTTTGGCGTGGAGGGTGAGTACAATATAATGGTCATTGACCTTCTTGGGCCAAGCCTAGAAGACTTATTCAACTATTGCAATCGAAAGTTCTCATTAAAAACTGTACTCATGCTTGCTGATCAGATGGTTAGTTCATGATTCTCCTCATCTTTTTTCTTTTATTGTTATTGGTTAATGAATTTACCCAAAGAAGTTGGTGGCATCCCTTTATCATTCATTGTGAACAATTTAGATTATTTTGTTCGACTAAGCTTTTTTTTTTTTGTCAATCTTTATTTATAGGTCAACCGTGTTGAATACATGCACTCAAGAGGCTTTCTTCACCGTGACATTAAGCCAGACAATTTTCTCATGGGCTTAGGACGCAGAGCCAATCAAGTATGATAGTTTTATCTTTAAATTTGGATTATAAGCTGACATTAAAAGTGCTTTCGTTCATTTATTTATTTTCTGCTAAAGCTCTGTTATATTAGGATTCCATTTCAAGTTTTTCACTCTGCACCTTGTTTTGCTTTGTATATATTTGGCAATATCCCTTGTATTATTGAATGGCTTTGCATTTTCATATATCCATTTCTTTGCTCACCACACTGATTTCTTGCTATTGTACTTTAACTGTTGGCCTATTGCATATTCTATAGCTTATATGATATTTCTAGCATTGCACTTATATCAAAATTTATTCAGCTGCTGCTAATTCCAACTAATAATTAAAATACAAGTGTTTTATTCAATTGTTGGTCATTTTCATTTAACCTTTTCTTGAGAATTTTGCGTCATAGTTAATAAGAAGTCACGCCATATCCCTTTCCAATCATGAAAAGTACTGAAGCAAATCTTTTTCTTATAAAGTTTTTCAGAAAATATTTAACGACCTGAGAATTCAACAGCATCCATTTGCACTGCTGATACTTAATCTTGTTGTATGTGATTAAGGGCAAATATAAACACGTTTTACTGACACAAAGGATATTTTGTAGGTATAATGATATTATTCTCTTGTCTGCTTTAAATCCAGATAATCCTTTTCAGATTAAAAGGTTTTGGGACCTGATGTTTTTTCTTTAACAATTGCTGTATAGGGTGCTCTTGATTCATGCTTTTCTATTATTTAGACACCCTTATTTGGATAAGGCTCATGATGATGATGGTGATGATTTCTATATGATCGTTTACATTGATATTTTGCACTAGAAAATCTGTTCTGTTTGATGTTTGTTTTTTATTTAAAAAAAAAAACTGTTGAATGGATATTTCACGTTGTGTATGCTAATCCTGATTTCATGGCAATTGAGTCATTTTTATCTATAATTTATTATGCAGGTTTATATTATTGATTATGGTCTTGCAAAGAAATATAGAGACCTTCAAACACATAAACATATTCCATACAGGTGAATCTTAAGCTATCTTTATGTTTGTTACGTTTAGAAGATTCATTCCATCCTTGCAATGTCTGCTAACGATCACTTTAATTTCCACCATGCATGGATCTTTCAAATATCTATATATTCATCTGAATGTATTAATCATGCATGCATGAATATGTAAATTGAATGAAAAGTGAAGTTTATGGGAAATTTATTTGTAAGGCTTGATATTGTTTTTCATGAAAATAATTAAAGAAGGTGAAAGTTGCATTTAAGATGCTGATTGTATATTCATGTTTAAATTTACTTGCATAATTGTGCTGATTTCTTAAATTTGTGTCAATGCATTTATGATTCTGGCCAGTTGTGATGATCAACAATTATTCTAGTTTTTTATGCAAATTTATGATTGTGGTCATTTATGATGATAAAAATTTATTCTAGTTTTTTATGCATGTAAAATTTTTGCCATTTATGATGATATAGCCCAGTCAGAAAATTAAATTTCACAAACAGTTTTTTTGATCTACAGTTCCTTGAATTCTAATTATAAACACAGTTGTGTTCAAGCAAAATCATGTTTGTCTGAATTTTTGATGAGGCTGTCTTTCAATTCTTTGATAACATCTCCACAGCTTTCTTGTATCACTTTCTGTCAAAGTTGATATCCACTCATTTCTTTTTAACTAACAACGGTTTCATTTATTTTCAACAGAGAAAATAAAAATCTAACTGGAACGGCACGGTATGCAAGTGTAAACACTCATCTTGGGGTTGGTGAGTTTCCTTATATTCATTCATTGATTAAGTAACAAATAATTGCTGATCTTGTTTCTTTTGTTGTTGAACATCTCTTTCACTCATTGAAGTATCATTATCTGCATACAGAGCAAAGCAGGAGGGATGATTTGGAATCTCTTGGTTATGTCCTCATGTATTTTTTAAGAGGAAGGTTAGAATTCGATGAGAGTGGCTCAGCTTTAATATTTTTGAGTATTATTATTATTATTATTATTTTCTTTGATTTGTTGTATAATATTTAAGAAATTTCTTTTCAGCCTTCCTTGGCAGGGTCTAAGAGCTGGTACCAAAAAACAGAAGTACGATAAAATCAGTGAAAAGAAAATGCTTACTCCTGTTGAGGTAATTGGTGCGTGCTTTTCCCAAGCGTTATTCATTTAGTTGTTGTTTTTTATGTTTGTTACGTGAGTTGTTGGAAATTGAGGAAAATTGCTTGTTTATATCTTTAAAATCAGGTGCTGTGCAAATCACATCCACCTGAATTTGTATCTTACTTCCACTATTGCCGGTCATTGCGATTTGAAGACAAACCAGATTATTCTTATTTGAAGAGACTTTTTCGTGACCTTTTTATTAGAGAAGGTAGCGATTTTCTCTTTTTATGGACCTACGTAATGTCATAGAGAATAAATTAGCCCATTCCATTTGAAGGATCAAATATTTTAAGTCTTTTCACCAGAATGGATCTGGTACTTTTTACTGCAGGTTATCAATTTGATTATGTTTTTGATTGGACTGCGTTAAAGTATCCTCAAGTTGGTGCTGAGATCAGAGCAAGTGTATGAATTTTGTATCATATTAGGCTCCATTGAATTATGATGCTTTGTTATATTTGTTTGCTAATCTTATTTATTTTCTTGCAGCCTGGTGGTAAAGCAAGTGGAGCAATCGGACCTTCAGTAGAAAGAACAGACAAGGCTTCAGGTTTTCTTTGCTTTCTCTCTCCCCCTACCTTTTGTTCAACCCAGTTTGTTTATCCTATTTATTTGCTTCATTCAAAAAAAAAAAATAAATAAATAATATATTTATTTGCTTCATTATACAGTGGGACAGGAGTTTCGGGATAGATTCTCTGGTGCGGTTGAAGCATTTGCTAGGAGGGCTGTCTCTGGTGTTGGTCATCACGGAGAGCATTCTAAGCACAAAGCTTTGGAGGATGCATCACCAAAGGATGTAAGTTTCTTTGGGTTTAGAGTCTATTAATTTATTAGTTAGGTCTCTATTGATGCTGATTGATCACGTGTTGTGGATTATCTCAAGTTGCTGTTATGTTATGATCATGTACGTAGGACATGATTATCTTTTTTTATTGTTTATGAGTGGACCTCTTCCTATATATTGGATTGCCTTTATGATATAATGGAAATTGATGATTATACAATGCTTTTAGCCCAAGTCCTCCCCCTATCCTTTTTTCTCCTCTCTCCTTCCTCTCCCAACTGCCCCTTTCCCTTTCTCTCCCCCTCTTTTATTATTGCTTCTCTTCTTCCTCCCTTCTCTCAATCCCTAATCCGTCCATCTTCTCAATCCCTTCTATTTACTCTTTAAGCTTCCAAAGTCCCTAGCCACCTTCCAATTAGCTTGCTGAGCACCACCTTTCTTCATCACCATCACCACTCTAAGAATCACCTTAAGCTTATCTCTATTGCATCGAATTCAGGAAATCAAGACTGTACATTTATGACCTCCATTAACGAAGTGTAAGCTTACCATGAGCCCCCTCCCTTTTCATCTTGCATTCCTTCAAAGGAGATCCAATGATATGAACCAAATCAAAGTCCATGCATATTTTTTATATTATGGGCTGATCTCAAGCTGAAATGATTTGATCTAGGCTCTCAGCTCAAAATTGGTTTGAATATTGGATCGAGCAATAAATTTGGCTCAAGGATCAACTCATTAACTCAAGCTAGACTTGAACCAAAAATTGATAATTTTTTAGAATTTTTTAATTTTGAGCTAAAATCTTAGTATACTAGCACCCAACTAGCGTGCTGTTACTGGACAGGTCCAGTCGGTCCATATGGGACCGGCTTACGAGCAACAGAGGTAGAACGTCTCCGCCTCCTATACGTGCCGATCAAACCGCCCAATGCAACGGAGGTGTTTAGGAAGGATTTTTGAGGGAGTTATGACGGAAATTTGAATGTAGGGACTATTTAGAGATTTCCTTTTGGATTGTATGCATTAAATAGTTTGTTTCCTAGGGTTATGACATCTTGAATTTGGCTGAAATTTGAGATCTCTTAGGGTTTTGGGCTCTAGCGGCGTCTAGAGATTTAGGAGAGATAGATCCTCCTCTTGAATAGAGGATCAATTGTATCTTGGCATTTTCCATTTCCATTTCATCAAATAATACAAATTATCTACTATTTTTCCTGGTTTTGTGTGGATTTTTGTGGAGAATTCTTGCTGATTTCCAAAGATTGCTAGGAAATTCTTGCAATCTTCAAGTGTTTCCTATCATGTGCATACCAAGTACTTGCGCCTTGTGCACTCATTGTCGACTCCCATCCTCCTCTATATCCAACTTTTTTACTTGTTATAGCCCTATGCTTGCTCTACTTCCATGCTTAAACCCTGCATTTCTGATGCAGGCAAAAAAAAATCCGGGGGATGGGGCACCCGAGGATCTCCGCCCACAGAAACGACGGACACACGACTACAAGCTCGTCAAATGAGACAAACAAACTCTTACATTTCAAATAAAACTAAGACATAGAAATTTAAGAACAAAATTACAACAACAGATTGAAATTAAACGACTTTCAAACTCAAATCGAAATTAAAGACACCCTAAACTTACTTCACTTAGAGAAGAAGGATACATATGGAGTGGCACTTGCGGAGAGACGAAAGAGGTTAGAAGCCAAGACGAAGGTTGGAAAGAGCTTGTAAGATTTCCGGATGGGATGAGAAAGAAGGTGGACAAAGCTCGCAAGCTTTTCCAAGCAAACCCGCATGTTATAGCTTTTCCAAAAATAACATATCATTCACTTTTTAAAACAATACATAACCCCTCATATTTATAGGTATGAAAGGGGAATACCAAAAGACAAAACATTGAATCCACATAGGAATTCCAAACATTACAAGCCATAAAAAACCTATTGCTTTTCACAGAAAAACAGCATAGCTCAGGAAACCGAAGGAGCAACCACGGGAACTAAAGAGGCTGCACGGAACCAAGGCGCCAAAGCCACGGGAAAACCCCCAGGCTCGAAAAACCAGTAGCCGGCCGGAAATGCAAGGAGCCATGGCACGGAAAACAGCAGCCCATCGTGGAAGAAGGAGCCACGACATGAAAAAATAAAACAACTTTCTTGGGATTCCAAAAGCCCTTTTGGAAAACCAAGAGATAACTTAAATGAAGACATTAAAAACTATAATAAAAGTACATTAATTAAAAAATAACTATGAACTAAAATGTTAGCTAATAATGAGCTAACCCTTAGTTCAATAAGTGAACTAAAGACCAGCTCATAAATGAGTTAAAATTTCAGCTCAATTTGATTGAGCTTGTAAACTCAACGGAAGTCAAAAATCAAATTATTTTGGGCTTGAGTTGACCCCCCCTTTGTCTACATCAATTTCTTAATTTGCCTTCATAAAATTAGGTACTCACCCATGGATAAGGAGGGGTTCTCAATGAGAAATTTTGTTTAGTTAGCCATGGAGTTTGATGATGAAGAATTAATACAACAAAAAAGAAAACGTTAGCTCTGATTTCATATAGTGATGGAGGTTTTCGGTTTATCTAATCTTTGAGCAGTTGGAGAAGTAAAAGGGAATTAGTCAAGGAATTCGAGAAGAAAGGCAATTGCATTCTGTTATTACTTTTAGGAGGATGTGAGCTTTCTAGCAAAGGAAATAACGTGAATCTTCAAGAATACCATTGTGATGAAAAGGATGGTAAGGAGAGAAAATGAGAACTCTGTGTATACAACTTGGAGTGAATTTGCATACATAACTTCATATAGGGCTGGAAGGAGCACACAGCTCTTCAAATGGGCTATTGGGACTTTAATTCCCTCAGTTTATTTGTAATGGCTTTTTTTACTTAGTATTGAGGGTTATTTATATAAATTTCAATTTATATAGCTACCTTTAAGTGTGGCTATAAGTATACCCTCACCATTGTTGCAATGCAATTCAATTCATTTTCTCTCTTACTTAGAAATAGGATATGAAATGAGCATATAAGTGAAAAGCTTGGAGTAGCTCCAGTAGAAAATAAGATTAGAGAGAGTCGCCTTAGATGGTTTGGTCACATAAAATGGCGGCCTTCCGATAACCCAGTTAGGAGAGTAGAAGTATTAGATTTGACTTATGTTAAGAAAGGTAGAGGTAGACCTAAAAAGAATTGGTTAGAAAATATTAGGAATGACCTTATTAGATTTAAATGAGAATTTGACTTTTAATAGTACACAATGGAGAAAAAGGATTCATGTAGCCGACCCCATGTAGTGGGATAAAAGCTTGATGTTGTTGCTGTAGTGAATTATTTCTCCTCTCCCATTCTCTGTCTCCTTTCCTCTATTTTCTTTTTTCTATTTTCTTCTCTCCTTCCAGCTAGCTAGGTTCTTGTTACTTAATAATCACAAGGAGAGCTGCAGTTATGTAATCACACTTCCCTGGCAATAAGTAGGCATAACTGAAGGGCAGGTGTTGCTACTGCTGTGAAGGAGGTCCATCCGAGAAGCATCTCCATCTATACCCAGTGAAGAGGGTTGGAGCTTAAGCCAACGAATGGTGTTATGATTCTTACTGTTTGCGTTGAAGAATTGCTGAAGGACTGTACTTGCCTTGATACTGCTATTGAAGAATCTATTCGCAGGTGAAGATCCTCTGAAAGATAGAAACAAAGACAATATAGAAATAATGGCAGGGGACAGAGCAAGAGTATTCATATGTGTGCAATCTTTTTAATTTTCTTATTTATTAATCAAGAACCAGAAGTGGTTTTTTTTCTTCTACAGTAACATAATGATAATTAACTTGGGTGGGTTCATAACATCAAGTAATTTCAATAGAATAAAGTGAATATTAAATGTTAACTTATCTTTTGCTTTTTATAATTTCAAATGATCAATGATATTAAAGATTCTTACAAGATTTATTTGGCCAAAGCAATGGAGGATTTGGATCATCCAGCTATTTGCCCAGTCTGACTCCTTTTTATTAGCTTGTGGGTAATCAATTAGTTGATCTCTTAGCAGGACACAACGGAGAAAAATGATTCATACAGCCAACCCCATATAGTGGGAAAGAGGCTTAATGTTGTTGTTGTTGGTTAGCCAACAGTAATGACACTCACACTAGCTCATCTAATGATGAAAACACTTCATATAATTGATGAACTACTCTAAAGGAATGTGTGTATTACTACTCTTGGCTCTTGATACTATTGTAGATCTCACACTCATTATTATAGTTTGACTTGTGTAGATTCGATATATTATATTATATGGCTAATTTTTAGTTATAATATTTGGCAAATGAGGTGGACAAATCATATAGTTCCATGGTCAGCTACTTCATAAGATTGGACTAAAGATTGATAAATGGTGACTGCATCACAGGCTCACACCAAAATTCCATTACCCATCTTACTATCCCCTGTAGCATCACAAACCCAATCTACCTTGCTATCCCCTCCAAATCCAAGAGCCTCACCAAAATCCCTATTTACATCAGCCCTATCTAACCTCCTTACCCCTCCGGTCCCTTCAGACCCCTCCTTTTCTACTAGTATATTCTTTTGTTGCCACTAAAGAGCTAGAGTTTGACTTATTTGTTTTATCGATTCAGTTGTTCGTGCCTGATTTTGTACATGTTAGTGTGCTGCCACATAGGGCTTGCTCCTTTATCCTTATTTGCTCGGTTTTAATGCATGCTAGTTGGTATCATCCAGAGCTCAAACCTATAACTATGTTATTTGGAGGACAATCTAGTGATCTCATCTTGTATATAAACCCATGCCATCTCTCTACCTTTGGCTTGACTTTTTCAATTTTTTAGTTGAAGAGTATTCATGGTCTTATAGATTGATACAATATGATCATAAGCTATCGTTTTGTTTAATTTGCTTTGATTTTTTTATCATGAACTCTTAATAGTTTTTTTATTCATCCAGTAGTCCTATTTTTGGGGTGTAATAGAAACTGATGATA